CTGCTGCGGCTTTAGGTAGGTTGTTGGACAAACACACCAAAGACGATAATCGCAACATATTTCATTCTACGATTTCGTGCAAGTTAAAAATGTGCAATGATATTAATTTACACGTGACTAAAACAGTCATGCAGAATTTCATATTAATAAAAAAATATATAATATGCTTATGATTTCATTTAGTGTCTGAAAATAAAGTCTTGACGCACCCATCGTCCGTGGATTCCATTTCAACCAGTGCTGGGTCTGAAGACCACGTATCAATGGGTGGATTCTCTGCAAGAAAGGCGCTGACCGTGGTAGAACACGTGGAACAAGGTATTTACATATTTACTTTAATTTGACATTGTATGTGTCATGCCGTTTATTCGGCGATGTTTACATGTTTACAATTATAGCACCGTGGTCGTCACTTCACGTCATATTCAATATAGGTCTGATACGACGCACACAATACGTGAAAAAATGTATTTACACAAAGTGTTGACCATTGTGAGGCTTACATTTAATATATTATTTTTAACAGTTATTGCCATTGAACTACTAGCTGCTTGCCAGGGACTTGAATTCTTGAAGCCTTATAAGACTACTAAACCATTACAGGCTGTTTATGACTTGGTGCGTACAGTGGCTAAGTAAGTATTGCCTTCATTATTGTGTTTTGCTCCGATGATTTATTTGAGCGGTGTGGTCATAATGGACCATTGAAAATACTAATAATCGGCGACAGCATAAGTAAGAACAATATAGTACTGGTACAATGCAAGAGAAAGTGGGCCAGCTTAATACAACGTCGAGATATAAAGCAGGAGCTGTGATAATTAGTTTTAATATTCAAGAAATTTGCCATGCATATATCCCGACTTCATCAAATGTCACTGATATGTATTTGTAATATGGAGTTTCCATGTTTGTCACCAGACCTTGGGATAAAGATCGTTTCATGGCTCCTGACATTAATGCTGTCACAAAACTTCTGCAAGAAGAAAAGGTAATGTATTATCATTGACAATGACAATGAATTACTCATACATACACACAATGTAAATTTATTTACGTATTTATTTATAGTCCATTCATAAATGAGTTCATGTGCGAAATGTACATTAAAGTGGCTATACGGTATTTGAAAGAACGTGTGTGAACGGTGTCATGGTAACTATGAGAACAGACAATGGATAAGATGACTTGTTTGCGCATCTTCTCGGGAATACAGTGCCTGTCTTTTGCTTGAACAGGTTACACCGTGACATGAGCCACATCTTCTTTGAAAATAAAAAAAAAATAGTATTTGCATTTTGTGTAAAAGGTCACAAGTAAATCATTGGCATATATGTAGTAAAATGTCGAATGTGATTTTTTTTAGGTATGGGCGTGTGTGGAGCCATATATCCAAGATTACAATAAAACTATGGACGTAAAAGACCACAAAGAGTAGATGTATGAAGCGAAGAAGTTATTGTAATATTTTAGTGCTATATAAATATTGTGCTAATGTTAAACTTTTTTATTAATACATTCTGTAATATATATGGCTAATGCAATTTTAAATAAACAGAAATATGTTAATTACATTGATCAGATGTAAAACCGTGTGAGATTTCAACAAAACATTGTATTTATGTGTGCTTTGTGAAAGTAAACAATGAAACCAATAGATTTGATTTATATTTACATATTACATACATAACTGAATTCAGATAAAGTGATGCAGTTATTGTGTTATTTTTTAGTGTAAACATTATCAATATAAAATTATGTAATACCAAGATGGCTAATGCATTTGTTTAACATAAATGGCTAACATTTAACGTGCTGATCTGATGCCAAATGTGTTGATGGCGTATATTAAGCTTGTTGTTGATATTAAATATATGAAATGGCATTTCCTTCGTTTTTGAGAGGAGTTCAAAGGAAAAAACAGAAACTTTAACATAACTGCTTCAGAAAATACTTTATTGGATGAAGACGAAGTTGAGTAAATTCGTAATGAAATGGCCTCCAGATTTGAATTAGTCTTTGATGAATGTTGGAAATATATATGAAAAGGTTTATTGTTTATTATTATTACTGATATTGTATCGTTTTATTATACTGTTATATATATATCGTTTATACCGCCTGGGCTTGAATGTGACAAAACAGGACCTTGAACACTGTGTTATGTGCGAACGTGAGAGGCAACACCACATATTTTTATCGACCAATCACAGTGTTGTATATTTGTATCAAAGTTTTCCGCTTCATAATCCCTAAGAGGGTGTATAAGCACTCGATGTACTTGATTCAGGGCTCTTCTATGATATGTTCACGTAGTTCAAATAAACAACTAGTTATACGCTAATAAGTACGTGTCGTGTCTGACTGCTGGATATCTGATTATATAAAGAATATTACGTCCAAATATACGATTTCCCCACAATATAAAGCATATATAATCGTGTTCTAACCCTTTAGCCTTGTGAGTCTTAATTCTTAACTTAACACTTAATATGATCTTAATATTCTTAACCAATGATCTAACAGCCATAGCAGTTTGAATTCTTACCTTACATCTAACTGCCTTACCAGTCTTAACTTATTATATTATCAATACATAATAGAGGGCCTTATCCGTGCACGGGATGACTTAAGTTTAACTATAGGTTGATCACAGATGAAAGAGGAGGGTTTGCATACAGATCTGGTTCATGCCTTGTCATTTCGGATTCTGTACACAGAGACTTTACAATATCTAGCGAGAAAGGCAGGTTGTCAGACGGTTAGGTCTAATTTTTCAAGACCCCTGGGCTTCCATCTTTAGCCGAAGACAATTCAACGGGTTCAGATTGTCAACAAGTTAAATGGAATGGTAGACGTTTCATCGTGCACAAACACGTAGAACAGTTATTTTAGGAGTATCAGTTTCAAGGGATTTGCAATAATTACAAATTTGAGGGGTTGTTGAGGGGTTGCTTGTGTTCTCAGTGCCCTCTTTTGCATGTTTGAAGTTATTGCAGGAAAAACACTTGATAGGCTGTATGACGCTCTACCGTTTCCTGTCTATAGAGTTAGTTCATTGGGAATAGCAGAAAGTCTTTTTTTATAAAGTGCTCGCCAATTGTGGATCTATCAGCCCCACATGATCTGCCTGGTGTTAGGCTTGTGTTTGGCAGCAGATCAAGTCATCAAGATTTTTGACCAGATTTTGAAGACAATCTGCTGGATTGTTAAAGGTAAGTATATCATGAATTTTATTATCCACTTGCTTGATGATTTTGTTGATAATTGATGCATTTGAGGAGGATGGCATTCGTACTATTGCTATGATAGCCATGTTTTCATCTTTGAACATTCTATTGGCAGCTCACAAAACAGTCTGTTCTTCACTTGACCTAGAGTACCTATGTATAATTTTGAATTTCACAGAAATGGTTGCCTTTCAACTGGACATTGGTATGTTTTGTATATGCTGCATCTGGACGCATCTATGCATAAACTTCATCACAGTGTGCCTTTAAACAAAGATTGACGCATGGAATTGACTATGTGGAAAGTCTGTTTGCAGAACTGGATTGGAATGTATTTGTTTCTCAATGCTGAGCTGGTTGATGCATCTGATTTCAATTTTATTCAGATGCTTCATCCACAGTGAATTTGGTTTGTATAGGTTTCTTCTAGATATGGCTCAGCGAGTTGTGGCCAGTGAAAATGAAATGATACATTTTCCTTGGCATTTTTAGAGTTGTACCTTATCGTCATTGCTGCCTAGTTGTGGGATAGCTATTGATCACAGAGGCGTATTGCAAATTATTAAGGGCTTATGGGCCATCTGACATTTGCAGCCATGGAAAATAATTTCATTATCTCCACACAACAGCTACCTGTATTCAAAAATGATATTGCTATTGCGCTCTCCCATTCGCAATTGCAGATGTTCCTGTGCCAGAAACCTACAGCTCAGCTGCAGAAAAGTTTATAATACTATGACAGAACCCCACACCCTCCCGGTGGCTTTCGTTGCGTATGGAAGTTATTTTCACGAGTGATGCGGTGTATCCTGCGGCCGTACTTTCACGAGCGAAGCTTAAATCACCGTACAATATGTCTCTGACCTTTTTCTGGTTTGCGTAGGTAACGAGTGAGGGTTTGGTATTTATACTTCTGTGATGGGTATTGTTGTAAGAACGTACCATGTCATCTAATACAGGCAGAAACATTTTTCCCTTGATGGTTCTGTTGTATCTCTCCACAATGCTGGCTTTAGTCTCATTGCCTGTAGTAAAGAACTTAATGTCTTTGCTCTTGAGGTAGTTTTGAAAAAGTCTGTTGGTGAATTCAGTTCCTCTGTCCGTGTGCAAAACGTCGGGGCGATGCCCCTTTTCGAGTATTTTCCGAAATGCCTCGACCAAACTCGCCCCTCTTTTGTCTTTCAGAGGTACGACGAAAGCATATTTTGAAAAAACGTTGATACACATCAATAAGAACTTGTATCCTCTGTTGTATCTGGATATCGAGGAGAGATCGCATAGATCAGCCTCTCACTGCTTGTCCACTTGGAAAAACACCACCCTCCTTCTTTTAAAGGACCGTCTAGAGGGTTTGTGCATAGTATATGTATCCTGTTTACTCAACCACTTCTTCACGTCTGACTTGGTTATCTTTTTTCCTCTCTTTGTTTTTTTTACGGCAGCGTAAAGGGAATTCAAACCCCCGTAACTTCCAGGACTTTGAACATCGTAAAACAGTTCGTCTAGGGTGTGGTTATTTCACATGCGCAGAGGCAGTGGATACATTCGATAAACGAAAGCAAAGCGGGACAGCGTGGATCCATCACGACCGACTGCACCAAAGTGAGATTGAGGGGGTGCGACAAGGTTCTATTTAATATGTTACCCACATGTGTCGAGGATGAATGGGAGTGGAAACCACATGGGGTCCACGTCTCTGCAGAACTCTCCCCTTGAGTGTGTTGGTATGCATGTAAGACTACCGATCTGTATTGCCAACAAGATCTTGAGGAACATTTGACATTTTCATAACTTCATAGCAAATTCTCTCCAACCTGTGGGGGTGAAATTCTTCCTTTTACGCAAGAAATCATTGACTAAATCGATGGCGTGCGTGCCTGGCATGGATTGTCCATCAATAAGTAATTCACTGTTTTCACCCAAGTCGACCCGTTGGTTCTGTTTAACTTTCTGAAATAGAAGTTTTGCTTTTCTCTGCATGCTCTTGGGAACATTTGTAAGACTTTGGATGTAATTTGATCTGGCACACCATCTTTGTTGGGTTGAAATTCCCGATCAGCTACAGCGACAGCACTGGGTAATTGCTGCGTAATGGAGATTGGAATCGGTTCCCGCAACAACAAGTACTTGTGTAGAACTTGTTGGTACAGTTTGACTTTTTCGTCTTCAGGCAGCTCTTCCATTTGCGTTATGTCGTTCATGTCTCTATCCAGCGAAGTCATTGATTTCACCACAGGTCTCGTCATTTGAGCATTCTGGCTTTGGATGGTAAATAATAGCTCAGCAGGGACTAAAGCCATCTTCTTCACGGATTCCATCTATTTAAGACCGTGTAGGGGAGGGAGTATGCTCGAAATTAAGGAAGCAATCAAGGCGGCCAGGAAACCCCCTTTCTGAACCAGAATTTTTCTTTTTCTTGACTGGAGTTTTCTTATTGGACAGTGCTTGAAGATGTTTCACGTACTACGCCAATTTTCTTCTCTGACTAGGTGATAGCTGGACGTTCCCTTTCAACACATTGAGCGAGCATTCGCACA